TAAATTTTGAGTTGCAAGCCAATCCAACAAAGCGTCACCACGTTCATCAGATACTGGAGACCCCCACACTGTAGATTTAGCATTGAAATCTCCAGCGACTATAAGATCGAGGGGTCGACACCTTGAAACAAGACAGCCCAGTTCGGACAAAAACGTTTCAAATTCAGCAAGCGTTTTATTTGGGGAAAAATAAACACCAATAACTGCAATTCTGCCAATTTTTAAAGCAACGCAACCTCTACCCTGCATTGTTGAAGCAACTGACAGCAAGTTGATATCATTTATAAAAACCGCAACAAGACCATCACGGTCACCGACCCAGTTGCTTTTATCTGGAACCATGTATGGTTCTGAAACAATCCCTATATTAACGATCCACTGTGTCAAACTCTGAATTAAAAGGTCTTGAGCACTTGCACAGTGGTTCAGGTTAGATTGAATAAAGCGTAGATCCATACTAACTTATAACAATTTCTTGGGTCTCCATTATGTCACCGCTCAAGGTTGGTTCTACTGAAACTTTCGTGTTGAATCTTCTCGGCATCTTTTGACTGGGAGCCGTACAAGCTTTCCCCCCCAGTCGATGATCAGCTGTTTTACCTGCCGCAATACACAGAGGACATTGCGGTTTGGATGAACAATCAGAAGCACGATGGCCTGGCTGGCCACACCGGTAACAAGACTTACTACGGTCTATTTCCGCCGTACAACGAGCTGCAACATGACCAGCTTGCAAACATCGGAAGCACCTAAGTTCTCGTTGTTGCAGCACCGTCACCCTAGCTGAAGTCCAGCCTACAAGCAGACGACCTTCAGACAATTTCTTCGCAGCTTCCACCGGGCATTTCACCCACACCGCAAAGAGACCTGTCTTATCCTGACGAACTTCACCAACTCTAACATGATCGGATGAACACTCCCCTTTTTTACACACAGCGAATTTTACTTCGTCAGCAGTAACAGAATCGTCTAAGCCTGATACTCTTACCTCAACAGATTTAACAGGCCTCGATACAAGGATGCCCTTCGTACTATACAGCTCCCTTAATTTATTAGCCAGAACATCTGCTTTATCTCCTCCACCTTCACCAGTGACTTGTATAATGGCAGCACCAGTTGCGGCACGTCTAAACCTAACTGCTTCAATTCCCAACTCTTCTAGCCTAATCTGGCCTTTCGCTTCTTTAATAGCCTCCGCATATGTTACGCCTTTTTCTGAACTTCCGCCGGAACAGTTACAACAACAGCAGCTGTTCGGGGAGTACGCAGTCTTGGCTTTTTAACTGGTGCCTGAAAACCTGTTACAGTTGGTTGAGCTAACACAGCACCTGACCTTCCCCTTTTCTTCCTTTTCCTTTTCTTTCCTTTCCCAACAATCAACCAATGCTCCTTAGAAAGGTTGGAAGCCGATTGCAGAGGCGAGGGCTGAGTAATAGCAGATACCTTTTCAATGGCCAATATTTCCTCTCCTGCAATTCTTTTATTTTTCTTCTTTTTGAAATAGAGGATGGTCCTTGGGGCAAAGCAGTAGATGCTGCTTGCACCAAGCTTCTACTATTCACCTGTCTATTATCTGTCTGGGATTGACCTGACTCAAATCTAGGGGGCCCAACGACTTTGCGTCGGTCCGCGGCTAGAGAAGGCCTTAATACAGGTGCAGGATTAAGCCTAGGCTCTAGACTCTCAAACCGTGCATTTAATCTATCCCCGATACGGCGCATCAGATTTGCCTCAAACTCCTCGAGGAGAGAAGGAGTGAGCGATGGCTCCTTTGAATTAACTCCAACATGTTTCCGAAGATCCGTCATATCCTGCTGGAGTATCTCAATTTGCTTTTTGAGGCGCTCGTTGTCTTCACGCAGAGATCGAGTTTCCTCAGAAACTGAACGTTTAGCAAGCACCCCAATATCCTTCCGCATGTCCGCAATGGCATTTTTAGCCATATGGACCCATTGTCCTTTGATATTGGACGATTTTGTGGCGACCTTTTCAACAACTCCCAGGCTAGCCTCAATCCTCTTTACTAAATCCAATGACATATCCTCGCCCTGTTCCGACACCAAGACAGAAGATAGAGTACATTGTGTTTCTCGAGCTTTAATTTCCAAGGCCAAAAGCTCTTCTTCCTCGCGAGCCTTTTTCTCAGCTCTAGTTTCTTTCAACTTGGCAGATTTATTAGCAGGAACCGGATCCACATTCTCGCCCTTAGTGGATGGCCGACCTCTGCCTTTACGCCGCGTTATCTTTGAAGTCGCCTCTCTTGCGATATCTGAATCAGTGTCAGCGACTTCTCTGAAACGCTTCCGGGAGCTCCAAAACCGCGATGAAACTGTCAAAGACTCCCTTGCTTCAACACCTGAGTATGTGGAAGAATCCGACATCTCAGGGCACTCCAACATAATATCACTGGGGGCGCTGGCAAAACAAACTGATCGCCCGCCGTTGCCACTCCAGCCTCCTGCTCAGCCGCATCACACGGCATCTCCACACTAACATCTTCTTTTGATTTGGTTTTTTGTTTATTAGATTATTTATTGTTGTCATTTCATAAATTATTTTCCATGGGGGAAATACACAGTCCACCCAGGTGGTGCCCCCTGCACCTAGGTAACCCTTATACCACTCGGAGGACGGGTGGTATCCGAGGGATGGCCGCTAGCGACTGACTTTACTCACCAGCCACCTGTAAATACAGGTAACCGACACCGCGCAAAACCTACAAGGCGGATACTTACCCGATGTTAAGTGATATTTTCGTTGTGGGCCTTTTTAAAAATTGGGCCTTTTTAAAATTCTTGAGAGACCCTGAGTCGATTTTTTTCGGACATACTTCAATGCGTAGCTGGTTCCACTTAGTTGTGGCACGGCAAAAACTGCCTAACATAACGCTTAGTTGTGGAAAGATGGACGTCAAGATGATACGGGTGGGATTTCGTATTCTGCCGACGTCCGATGATGCCTCCCTAATATTTTTTTCCTGGTTTCATGCATACTATTACTTTAACGAAATAAATTAATATTAATTATTTAATAATATAACTTATATATTCATAATAGACCTAATACATATTACAAATGCTGCCAGATTATTTTTATTATTACTATGTAGGTTAAGAACTTTGTGAATACTGTATATTTGCTTGTTAGGTATCTTTAAATACATATATTGTTGTTTTCATTTTAAAAAAATATCACAAATACTTTATTAAACTACAATATTAATTTCATGTAAAAGAATGCCAGATTGACTTATAAGTAAAATTGGATCTTACGAATTTATATAATTGCCTGTAAATGATTTGTGTGATAAAAAAAACTATACGTTAGATTATCAGTTATAGTGAGTGCTCAGTCGCGTCTCTGAATCTTACCTTTAGGCTATGTTCACATGTAACGCGCGTTAACGAGCGATCAAATTTGAAGAGAGTTCAGATGATGAGCGCTAATGCGCGTTGCGAGAGTACTCGTCAGTCTAGTTCGGTAGAACGTAGAAAATGGACGTGGAAGAGGCTATTATTTTGTGGTTATATTATAAAGAAAAATATAGAAAAAGAAAACGTACACATTGGGTTCATCCAATTTTGAAAAATAGACCCAGTTTGTTATAAATATAATTACGAAAATTAACAAAATTACATGCGATCGCGATGAAAGCGCGCGCTCATCTGAACAGCATACGGACATGGCAAAAACATGACGCGACTAGACATTGTGGTATTTTCATACAACTGTTCACATGAGCGCCGCGTTGACGCGCGTCAAGTTTTTGCCATCTGAACATAGCCTAAATGCCCGAAAACATTACATAAGTTATATTATCTTGCAACGAAATATCTAGTGTTAATTTGTTCTTTGTAGTCTTCGTTCACTTTGTCGCGGAAAGGAGAAAGTTTTTGAATAGTAAACGAAAATCCAAAGCAATTTCTTAATATTTGGGTTTACAATAAAAGAAATCTTTATACAAAGATGATCGTCAAACGTCTTATGATATTAAATTCTTCATTAAAATTGTGTTTATTGTTGTAGAAAATATAATAGCATCGTCTCAGGAGACACACCCCAGATAGCAGACACAGATAAATGTCTCTTGCGGACGCGACTAATGAATAAAAACCGCTTAAGCGCTGATTTCCCCGTGGGTTTACTTGTAAGCGTTTCCCGTTGAAAAATGTTATTGTTATTAATAATACCTGCTCACTGTTTACATTGTTGTAAGAACGACAATTTATTATTAGTCTAAGTTGTCTTGTAATGTCTTGTCTATTTTACGACTCATTGGTCTAGTGGTTAGTACCCCTGACTGCGAATCCATGGGTCCCGGGTTCGATCCCCGGCTGAGACGAACATCGAGGTGATGAGCATTTGGTGTTGTGCTTAGGTCTTGGGTGTTTAAATATGTATTTATATGTCTATCTATCTATAATATGTATGTATATCCGTTGCCTAGTACCCATAACACAAGCTTCACCAGCTTAGCATGGGACTAGGTCAATTGGTGTGAATTGTCTTTAAAAAAAATGTCTCACAAAGAGGCAATAGAATACAAAATCTTTAAAATATAATCGATTTGAATTTTAGATAATAAACTTATATCGTGTATAAAATATATACCCCATAATGTGGATATATCGAAATCTCAAGGGATAGGGAAATCTCAGTAAAACTAAAACTTTATAAAAAAAATGTATTAATTTCATTACATTTTATTCTAAATAATATATTTTACAGTCTCGCTATTCTCGTTTATTGCAATATATCATATTATTCCATAAACCAATTGAGGTTGATCTTAATGTTACCTTAAATATAAATTCCTTAAAATTAATTTATTATAGAATCGGTACTTATAGTTAAATTTAATCTGGAAGACAGTAGTTATTTTTATTCTACATATATTTTTTCATATTTCATAAATATAACATCGTGTTTTACATTTTATTGATGTTATAATAACATAACTATTTAATTATTCACTTAAAATTATTATTATTAGATTTATACTAATCACAGCAATCCATAGAATACTCCTTATTGTGAAACAGACTGATTAACACCCTTTTTCTCATTCCCCCGTACGGTTCTGGGCTATAGCCCTCTCTATTGCACTCCTCAACGTACGCCATCTTGATTTTCACTTCATCATCCGGGATAAGGCTTCTTCTTCTTAATTTCCGTTTTAACTGCTTTCTTCGCTCGTTCCTAGAAGCAAACTCTGGCCTCTGTGGACTGGTGTCCTCGACTGGTGAATGGAATAGCTTTTTGCTTATCGGCTTTAGATTTAGAGGTGTTCGGACAGGAGAATCAGTTTCCATCTGAAAATAAAAAACTTGTATTTGTAGTGGACTTTAATCCTATGGCGAATGTTACTTTTCACATAAAACAGACATTGGGAATGATATAGACATCCGATATAAATTAACATATTATTTTAATGAAACCAATATATAACATCATATAATAATTTTTACCAATTACCCTAACTACATGCTCAACCAGGCAGTTCCTTACAAACATTTTCTGATGTTTAATTTTTTGTGTTTAGGAATCTACCCAGATTTAAACGTAAAAGTATTTACAAAAAGAAAAAATTTGGAGAAAATATTCTCAGAGAGTTCATGAATTATTCGTGACCTAAATAGTGATCTTCATACTTTAACAATAAATGAAACGTCCTGTTATAAATTCGCGTTTATATCCCTCAAAGTAGGTTTATTTAAATGTGTCACACGCGTAAATATGAACCCAACAACAAATTGACTATGGATTATAATGGAACTTCGTAGAATAATAAACACATGTAAGATGGAAAAGACGCGCGGATTTGAGTTGGGACAAAAAAGATACAAACATCCGCTCGCTGTCTACCTGTTTCTTTGTATTATTAATAGAAGTACCTGCTACTTTCAATTTCTATGAATTCCTTACACCCAAACGAAAACCGATAATATAATATTTTGTAAAAGCCAAACTGATAATTATAATAATTTATTGGAACCGTTAATTCTTCATGTAATATATGGTTTAATTATCATCCCTTAATTAACATAGGTATTTTATCTGCTGTACCTATTGTCTTGTTAATTTGATTTACTAATTATAATTTTTAGAGCGTTTAACATTTTAGACAAAGTTTGCACACAAAGGTTTTATTATAAAAAAATATCCAATTTTAACTGTATATCTTAGAAACAATATAACTATGGTACATGAATATTAAATTAATTTAGTAGTAAATATACGTATGGAGCCACTGTTTATTAGTTTCACGTATCACAAATGTCAAATAGTTAGTTACCTTATCAGTATCCGAAGCAAATTCCAAGGACTCGTTCAACCTGTTATTCCTGATGAGCACTGTTAAATTATCGCGGGTAATTCTGTTTATTGGTGTGGATGTGATGGCCGCCATCTTCGTAAACACCGTAATGCGTGCGCTTCGTATGCCTGGTTGATGCAAACTGTACGAAACCAATTTATGATCTAGTTCGACAATCAACTGTTGAGTGTTGACTGCCGAGTATCTACTGACTACTAAGTACTGACTCACGAGATTCGAATAACGGGAGACCACACAAACAACAGCTTAGGTTTTTTACTTCCAGTTTTAGATAAAACAAAGTAGCTGTCATCTGCAGAATCATTAAATAGCTGTCAAAAAAGTTGGAGCATTTGTCATCTTGACTTTGACTGTTAAATAAGAGCCACCACATTATATCGTCTTTATTACTTTAAAAAAAAACTTTAATTGTGTAAGTATACGTGTATTATTAACTAACAATTACTATAACATTTATTTGTAATTTTATACATTTGCCATTTAATACAGCCTATATCTTTAACATAGCTTTTGCCACGTAAAAAAAATCTCAAGAGCAGAAGCGATTGCATTGCTTGTGTAAGTACAGTACGAGTCCTGGCTTCGATTCCCGTCTATAATAATAATAGTTTGATGTCGTTCGTGGTCACGGTGACCACGCACGCTGTAAAGCACGCGAAACGTCGGATAAATTTAAAATTATGTTAAATAATTGTAAATTTATAATAATACATAACTTTAATCCGGTAAAAAGTTTTTTCTTTAAATGTGTAAAGGTTATGTTAATCAAAGACTATTGTATGTAGCATGTTACATTGTATTTCATGTACATGAATATGTAGGGTACAGCATGGTCATGAATATATAGGTCTATAATTTACATTAATTCTCTATTGTTAATAAGAACCAAACAACCCAAAAGAATTAATCTTATTCCTGTGTCTTTTGATCAAATATTTTTTTAAGATAAAGCATAAATTGATTATCTATCTATATTAATATACGGATTAATCCCAGTTTCTATTTCTATTTGAAACAAAACTTACAGCTGGTGCCTTTGGGTACAGTTTAAAATAAATAATCTTCATTGTTTTAGTTAAAAAGAATTTAAAAATATCTTTCAAACAATGCTTCAAAGAGCGGATTTGAATTTAAAGTCTTACAAGTTTTATGAAAGATAGTTTCCTTCTGAGATTTATTTTGAATGAAAGTACCCGTATGTGTCGAATTGCGATTTTAAAGTATTCCTTTGTACTTACAAGTCGAATTAGCAATAAATTCTCGTGTTTTGGCTTATGTTCAAAAATATTAAGATAGATTAGTGGTACTATAAAAGTTTAGGTAAATATTTCGTATACGAATGCGATAATAAATTTTCGATGTCCCATTTCATAATATATATAACATAGTTTGCTATTGGCACATCATTCTCGTGCTTGGGATTAGTTACAATTATGTCCATGGAGCACTTCGGTGTCGTGTCTTGTCTTATCGACTACAGAACTCGCACTCGATTTGGTGTGGAGTTGAAAATTGACAAAAGATTATATAACTATATTTTTTCTCATGCCAGTACTTTCATTTTTGGAAATAAATCTTAATATTGAATTAGATATTGTACAGAAAAGTGCAACCATGTGCAAATTTCTAGCAAATGATAATGAATATAGTTTGTTTAAAGTAAAAAAGTCCTAATTAATTAAATGAATCGGAATACTTACAAGGTTTAGCGTGAAAGAGTGGCACTACTTTTAAATATTTGTATTTAAATGTAGTCAATAAACAACTCACATTTTCACACCTCTTTATTATATAAATTACAAGTAAAATACAACCAACTTTGTACATAACTTCTCATGTTCTAATATTATTTTTTTATAATCTTTTCTTGTACCATATGCAAACACTTTTTTTTAATCTAAAAGTGATCATATATTTAATATTAATATATCGTGGTATTTATTTAAAACATTTTAAAGTTGGTTTTAAATGTTTATTCTCGTTCATTTCTATTAATGTACTATCCTATGACTTTAAAAGATTCACAAACAGTAATATTTTTATTAAATGATTTTTCTATATATATATTATGTATATTATTTGTAAATTATCAAAGTCATAAAAGATATATTACTAAATACTCAATTATAAAAACGATATTTTAATTAGATAATTACAATCACCCATCATTTTGAACTTTCGACTTTCTTATAAATATAACAAGTAAAAAACTAGACAATATTCCTCAAATATAGCGATAAACACTTTGTCTGATAGTATAAAATATATAAATATACAAATAAATCACTGTGAAAAAGCTATATTGTCTAGACATACATAAAATAAAATTCAAAATCTTTTGTTATCCATTATGGAATCATTGAAGAAAATATTCCGTCAATGTATCTTTAATAACCGTTCACCATATTAAAATAGCCGCATTATTTAGTATCCGGACATCCTCAGTCTTCATAACAAATTTTAAATGGCACACTTTATAAACAAAGCTAATTAATACTTACCTCTTATAAATAGCTAATAGCTTTATTAATCTCCTATTACTACAATTCCCAGTATCAAATATCAGATTATCACAGTCCGTCACACTAGCCAACAAATTATATTAACGATCGTAATGCCTTGTATGAAATTAGAAGTAACGATATTCTTGCTTTTTTTTAATTTGTGAGTATGCCTCAGCGAGTTTAATTGACAGGTACGTCACAGATGTATTGGAAGACATTTTGAACGCTTTAAAAAAGGCATCTATAGCCGCTTCACTACAGCTGTTGCTATTGACAAGGTTCTGCTTCACTTGCAGAACCTTCTTTTCTTTGGCGGCTTCTTCTTTACGAGTACTGGCCATTACCCAGGCCTGGTGGTCCTCTATAGTGGGCCTTATATGTTGGATCGGCTGGTATTTTGAATGGCAGGAACATCTGAGCCGGTAGCACACAATGCACTGCTCCAGCTCATATTCATCCAACATTCTAAGTAGTTCTTTCTTCTTGTTCTGCATATTGAGGTCCTGAAAGTATTTTTGAGCGATTATTTATATAGTTTAATACTTTAACATAACAACCCAAAAGTTGGCCTAGCAGGCTGAGCGTGCGCATATCAACCCTGTTGTGCGTTCGAATCACGGCTGTGCACAAATATTTTTTTCTTTCTAAGTGCGGATTTAACACTCGCTTGTAGACTGAAGTATAAAATAGCGAGGAAACTGGCATACCTTAGAACGAAAAATAGACGGAGTGTGTCAGGCGCAGAAGACGCCTACTTGCCTATTAAGAAAAATAAATTATGACGAAACAAATACACAGAACTGAGGCCCAGGTCTAGAAGGTAGTACCACTGGTTTTTTTAAATACATATCTTTAGTTATGCACCACAAAAAAGTTAACCCTATTTTTTGCTACAACAAAGAGACAATAATATTTATCAACTACCACTTACTTTTAAATACGTATTCATAAAATAAACAACTTACCAATTGGTATACTTCATCAATATTAACACATTCTTTTTTACAGATAGACATATTCAAATACTAAGTGAAAAAACTAAATAAATGTTTTAGCACGAACAACTTATGCGGATGAATGAAAAAGACAAAATGACTCAGACTTGAAGGTATTAGACCACATTGTTCGTAGTTTTAACCAAAAATGCGAGCAAACAAAAAACAACCATATTTAGTTTCATATAAGTGTGAAAATATTTTGCTTACGAATAACAATATGGATTTATAGTACCCTCTGTTAGGTAAAATAAACTCTAGTCAAACCTGCCTGTACCCGGATTTCCAAATAACGGACCACTAATTATACACTAATTACGTTAATTAGCAAATTACTTCAATAAGCTATGTAAGCAATACATGTCTCTGACTTACGCTCAGAAACTTATTGCAAATTCTGATAAAAGTGATATTATTGTTTATTTGTATAACGCGTTAAATAAATTGAAAATAACTCGAATCAGAATATAATTGGTCTATTACATTTACAACCATAATATCTTCTTTTATTGAAAATCTCCAGAAACATCGAAGGGTTTTCTTGTGATTTGTGGCAAAAGATTTCATTTTACTGTATATTTAAGTGCATCGTTATTGTATAAAACTAAAAGAAAATTAGTCAACGTATTTATATTAAGCAAAGAATTAAGAAATATATTATTATTTTACCAAACACATAATAATTAAGAACGACATTAAATAAGCACAAAGGGTGGTACATGAATTCTTCAAGTCCATTTATTTTATGAAGCGTCGCCGAAGCGTATCGTGAGGCAAGGCACGTCCTAGTTAAAAGCGAGCCCACAAATTCCCGACATTGCTGAGGGGGGTGTGATATTTGCCGACGCCATATTGGGACCTGCCGCATACCACAGCGTCAATATCGAGAGGGACCTCTAGAACAATAAGGGTATTAAATAAGAAAGTGGGTTATTCGATTTAGAGCGTTTATGCCTTTTGTTCCCTCACGTCAAATGTACTTTACGTTTTCGTTACGGCTCAGTTGGTTTTTTATTAACGTATTATGTTGAAGTCAAACGAATTTAGACAAACCGTCTTTGCGTTTATTTTAGGTGTCACGTAAGGATTGTAATTTGGGATATAAAAATTCAAAAGGAAAAAAATTGGTTACTTTTATATGATTAATTTTTTGAGTATTAGCTGCACATATAAATTGGATAACTTATTTAATCACTTAGCCTCACTATTGGTGTTTTCGGAGGTCCTTTATACAATAAATTAAATATATAATTCATTTAAGTATATTCTGAAGAAATAACTAGTGAAGTTATTTATTATCCAAATAAACTTGTGTGTATTAATTTCAAGTAACTAAGTAGTCAGTATTGTGAAATATTTTGTTAAAAATTTAAAAAAATTAACCTTAAATCATGTTCTGTAAAATAAAAAAAAGAATATATACTATTGACAATACTTTATTTACCAAAATATATCCTTGTTAAATGTTTACACTATATCAGAACAATAGACTTTAAGGTATTAGTAAATTATTTATTCTTTTTTATATGTAGAAATATGTATGATATGTATAATATGATAATTATAAAGCCTAGATTGTAGTTTGCAATATTCGTGTACTCTATCCGATTGCTAGATATTCTCTATAGTAATAGATTCTAAATCATAGTCTATGTCCTAAAAGTGCGCGAAATATTTGCAAGTCGGAGTCGGGCGTCTGAAAGTCCGTCACGTAGCCAAGACATACTTACGAGTCACGCCAGGGTTGCTTAAAGTGATATTTCTATTACGTTATTTATTTATTTATACTTTATTACCTTAATAAAAACATACACATAACAAAAAAATGGTGCGTGTACTTATGTACGCGCGTAAGAAGTTATACTTCTTTGGCTTTCTTTATTTTTTTTAAATATTAAATAATGAATAATAAATATTTAGCGTTAATAATTTAACAATATTTAATATTTAGTATATTATTCAATTATTAATTAATATTAATAATAATTATTATTTTATTATATTATTAATAACTAGGTAGGTTTCATAACCTTTTAACTAAGTAACAATAGGTCTTTGTGAAAAAGCATTGCTAAATTTCTTTGAAAAAACACCCATGCCCATACTGATAATTTTGTGTCACGGTGCGCGCGCATCGTAAAATTTCACTCTCATAAATTTTTCATAACGCGCCTAAAGAAGTATAAATTCAAAATACGTTATTTATTTGTAGACAAATTTTCCTTTTTAATATTCAATTACGATTGACATAGCTTATGCCTAGTAAATCACAGGGCAAGCAAAACGCGTAAACAGTTGACCATACACTATATTACCAAAAAAAAATTTACATATTTGTATCAATATTTTTTCGCGTATACCTAATTGAAATTTTTTACTACAAAAGAAGTCATTTATTCATTCACTCTTGTAATAAGAAAGTTAAAATAAATTGAGGTTCGCAAAGATGTTAGGTACTAAAGGCATTTTATCGTGTATATCTGAATTGCACTAAAAAAATTAGATTGACACAAGTGTGGAAACGCGAAGGCTTAACGGTTCACAGAAGCCAATTGAAAACGATTTTCATTTCACAGACAATTTAGCAGTTACCGTGGTTACGCGCACATACAACCCTCTTTGTAAAGATACTGGAAAAATACTAGCGACATCTATGCTAAATGTTTTTGAATTACCTTGATGATTTTTGCTTTAGAATTCAGAATCTCGTAAATACTTTTGTATTTATGTGAAATAATTTATTTTACATCATGACTTTCGCAGTTCAATTTGAGGGGTTTGCAAATATGACTTTATTATATTTATAAAAAGGTCTTATTTGCTTTGTATCTTAATTTTTAAGAATATACGTATATTGTCAATACACTATTATAATCAAAGTGTCCTAGCGACAAATAATCGCAAGGCTGCCCGCGAAAGATAACTCGCTTCAGTAAACCACTTCGCTACTACTATCCGCTTCTGTGACTCTGGTATTCTGAACTTGCCTTTGAATAGATTTTCGGGATAGTTTAAAGAACAGAGAGGAAGATAAAACTGTCAAGATATAAATAATAAGTAGTATAAATAGACAGCCTGCATTCAATTTTACATATCACCGACGTTAACTCTTTGTGAGGTTTAACAGGATTAAAAAGAATGGATTGAATTGAGTTTGTATCTAATTAACTACATTGTGAATCATTTAAGTTATGAAAGATTTGTTGGATGATTTATATAGATAAGTAGTCTAGATTTTGGTATTTAATAGAATTAATAGAAGAATATTTATGTAATCTGAAGAGCATAGCTATCTCAAGATGTCCTGTAATCGGATTGCGGGCTGGGATCTATAATCCGAGCAGTTTTTAATTTTCTCGGCGCGACGCAAATTAATCTTGCAGATCCACAGACTACGACAAAAATACTTTTTCAAATCTCAATCGCTTAACCTCGCCACAAAAGATTCATTCACAATACATTTTCATGATTTAAAGTTACCGCTGGTAAAAATAACGAATGTTGTCTTTAGAAGAAGTCAATATTTATATTGTCACAATTCTTTTTGGATATGAAGCAAGAGTTAAAAAGTGTTTTGTCGATTAAATTTTAATTACTCTTGTATTGCATTTTATAGATGAATAAAACGAAAGCTAGCAATATTTTGGGATTTTTTGTAATAACTGGTTGCTAAAAGAAAGGCTTATTTCTAGTATTTATCAGTTTTAATAAAATTATACTAATTTAATGAACCATGAGATATCAACCCTTTAACCTTCCATTGTCTACCAAAAATCACACACAAGCCCCCAATATCAAACAGTGGACGATTGAGCACAAATAACTGGGAAATAAGATATGAATATCAAGAGAAAAGGCCAATTATCACGTCAAATGCACGCGCTTCAAGTGTGGCGCGGAAATTGCGGCGGCCATCTTGTCGGAAGCGAAATTATCGCGAGAATGAGTGCCATTCTCATATTGATTAGATTCTACGCTTTTTAGGTACAAGCCTTTTTGACGTTTGATTATTTTTAAACTTATCGTAACCGTTTCATACATAAAAATATATTTAATTTAAAATTTAATCTATTATTTCCTTTGACTTATAAAAAGTTTGATTCTTTTAATCAGAGAAAAGGTCTCTCAATTTTAATCTTCCTACGCAAGGGTTGGTATTGAATAAACTTTACCTCAAACTTTACGAACTTAACTTAACTTGAGAATTAGCTAAATTGATGCCTCACAAGGACTTAAAGACACGTTAAATATTAACATATTGTTCTTAGTTTTGCGTTTTGTTTCGTTAAATTTTTACAAAAATTAAATTAGGTACTATATACATTAACATCGACAAAGGAAGTGAGTAAAATATAAACATAAGGGTGCATCGCAGCAAATCCGATTAGACGCTCTTTGATTACGCAAATCAGGCTTCTTACGACCCCCGCCGGGACTAATTTTATTACGTCACCGATCGTTGTTATCGGGCAAGTAACTGGATCCAGCTATTCGCTTTGTATGTCTTTCTGTAGCCACTGCATCACAAGTTCAAACATTTATTTTCATGCGTTTAGTTAGTATGAACATAAGAATGAATGAATGAATGAATCTAAGAAGAATTATATGTGCAATTAATAAATTTACAACGAGTATACTCGTATGAAGCCATATGGAAGCTAGAGGTTAGTACAACTCTTTAATGTTAAAAAAAATATGTATTCAAAGCTTTACCGTATGTATTCTTTAATATTTGGTTTGATTTCAATTTCGAATGTAGGCATTTTACCGAACATTTAAGTTTATTCTGAAGAAATAACATTTAACCAATTCTAATAAGATTATGAAAATGGAATCACTTCGTCAGTGAATTCAAACGCTCCTCAGACGTCCACACTTTCTCTTAAGAAATTATTAACTTTATTTCAGACAGTATTAATTTGTATGAAGTTGAATAGCAAATAAATAAACCTCTTTCACTATATTGTTTCTCACATAATTTTATTTTACAGATGGAAGATATTTTGCGACAAGCGCGTTCA